AATGTGTATATGATAAAACCTCGCAGAGTTATTTAAATGGTTTGGCGAAATTTCTGTCAGATCCCGCCGGCGGGACCGCCGACCCCAGAGGAATTTAATATTCTAATCTAATCAGTTAACGGTTAATGTTCGGTTAACGAACGGCGGTTGTCGGTTGGGAAAATTAATCGAAATGAGCATCCCTACCAGGTATACAAGATTCTAACAGGTCTGGATCTACAGTTCAGGTCCTGCAGCTGATGGTCCAAACTCTCAGCATGGCCTGAGTACCCCTATAGTCAAGTAAAACCTTGTAAAATATTCTATGCTTGGTCAGTGCCTCCGTTTTCACACCAGCCGTGATGAAGTTACTCCATCCCTTGTTAAATCATATACACCTCCAGACTGTATTCAATGTCACCCACCTCACTCAAAGGGAAACACTAGCATTAAATACTTGGACCTCTCTGGTTTTGAGTACATATGTTTAGATTAAATATATCACATATAATAAAAATCTTATTTTCACCATTCCTATCAAGTTTTAATACCACACTACTTCTGAGTACTTGTCTGCAGTACAGACTAACTTCTTTGCTACACATACCAAAAAATAAATAAGACTTTATTTAAAGTACATTTGAGGACAGTACATGTTTGCGACAGTCAGATCCTGCTTATTCCCATCAATCCGGGAATAATTATATTCTACAAAATGCACTCCAGCAGAAAGCCTGTGTTAGAAGGACCTTTTGTAGTCTTGCCCTTGACCTGACTTGAAGTGCGCCATGTGGACTGGGAGAATTTCTGACGAGAAATAAAGTTCCTTTCTTGATGGAGGCCTTCAACTAGGCAGCCATGATATTCTAGTTATCACTAAATCCCATAAAAAGAATTTAAAAGTTTGCACTAATAAAACCCCTCACAATTTCACCAAAATGAAACAAACATACATATTTAAAAAAAACAAAAACAAAAAAACGCCTCAACAATCCAAAATGACTGCCTGGTGGAAAGGGTCCCCGGATTGATGGAAAAGAGTAGGATCTGTGATCTATGTAAACTCAGCTTGAATGAGGAAATCAGAATGGAATATTGCTTGATGACAGTGGGTATGCTCAGAATTTAGTGTTTACGTCATGCTCTCACCCATCAACAGCTGAGCCATGTCGCTACAACCAGGCTCATATCCACACTAGCGGTCTAGTATAGCACGCTTGGTGTTTGAAAGAGTTATTATCAGTGCCTTGAGAAAACACTTTGGTTAAAATTAAGAAGTTGCTGCACTGTCATCACTGCGACAGCTGTCCTTCACAACTGCCTGAAATGCATGGATGCCCAGATCCTCCAAGAGAAGAGGACAACAATGCAGATATTCCACTATTTACAACAAACTACAGAGGACATGCATAGAGATGCTTTTGCATTGCGCTGCTTTAAGTAGATATTTTTTACTTTATTTTCATCCTTCTATAGTCGGATCACATAAAAGTTTCGTATTCATTTTTTAAACCATGATTAACTATTCCACTTTACAGCCAACCCTTGTCTTAATTTGAACCGTCTCTGGGAAACCACCCCCTTAAGACTAAACTTGGTACCTTGATGCTGGTCTCTGGGATCTCAAAGAGGACAGAACTCCCACATCTGTTGCTGCTGAAACTGGGTGTCTCCCTCATTGTCCGCCTCGGGTCTCACTCCTGAAAACAATACTGCATGGTGAGTACAGGCCTTTGTTCCACTTTTCTTTACCTTCTTCTTGAGCTTAGCCCATGGGCATAGGCTTCCCACGAAGTACGGCCCAGCAAACTTCAACTCAGATCGTATGTTACACTCACATCAGGACACTTGGGGAACTTCACCAAAATCCGTTTATCAACAAAAGCCAATTCGTGGTCCAAGTAACAGGAAGGGACAAAGCCAGAGATCAGTCTGTAGAAAACGCCAAAACAATGATGGTGAACCGAAAGGGTTGTCGATGAGCCGGGGGCAGGCAGGCCAGGAAGGTAGAACGTCAATCCATAAACATGGACGGAAGACAGGAGGAAGATCCACGAGGGAGGAATGGGGTTAGGTCGGACGGGAGTGGGAAGGTTCTGGAGGCGTGGGAAGAGGAGGCAGGAAAAGTCGGGCGGTACGGAGCTGAAACAAAGACAGGGTTAGATCGCTCAGCAATTGCATACCAAAAATTACCTTGCCCTGAGCGATTTCACTTATAATCTTATCATTTACTTGTGTCCTATTATTGTGCAATACAGACAAGCCAAAACAACAGTTTGTAACTTCACTTAAAGTAGATTTGAGGACATAGGGATGAAGAAATATTTGCACTAAGTGTCCTCGGAGCTGACAAACGCACACCCGACAACCCCCTCTTGTGCCAAATCTCAGCCTCCTCGCTGAGTCTGCCTTATTGTACCGTAATTCTTAGGAGCTGTATACAAACTTGTACAAGCTGTTCACATTGTTTTTTTTATGACTGAATGCTTTTTCCATTTTATTTTAATCCATTAATATGCTGCAAAAGTGATTTGCAGGCCTGGAGTTCTGGATACCATTTTAATAAATACTGAATGAATTTGTTCTTTTAATCTTAAAAAGATATACCCTGACACATAACATACCGTCAGGGCAGTTATGGGCACAGGCATCACCCAGGGTGGCAACGATGGCGGATCCACGGGGGAGGAACGGGGTTAGGTTGGATGAGAGTGGGATGGTTCTGGAGGCGTGGGAAGAGGAGGCAGGAAAAGTCGGGCGGTACGGAGCTGAAACAAAGACAGGGTTAGATCGCTCTGCAATTGCATACCAAAAATTACCTTGCCCTGAGCGATTTCATATATAATCTTATCATTTACTTGTATCCTATAATTGTGCAGCACAGACAAGCCGAAACAACAGAGGCGAGAGCTTGCTCACAAGGGGACCCTTCTTCAGGAGCAGTGACGGGCTGGCCGATGCCCCTGGACGCACCCAACACTGTCACCTTGGCATTGTTCTGGGAAGATGTGCATAAGGTACGAGCGGTGCTTGCAGCTGATCTTGCAATGCGGGAAAACATTCTGACTACTGGTTTGCTGCTAGGATTAAAACAAAATAGAAATTATGCAGATTCTCACTTAGCAATGGCACTGACATCGATTAAAATAAAAGTTGTTGTGCACGCGAGCGCTCTTGGGTGTTGGCGCGCTCCGGCTTCCCGCTTGTTGTACACCCGTTACTTGGTAGTGGATCTGCGCTGTGTTCGTATCGCGCTGTACAATTAGCTGGACGACGGATTTGTGGTGGTGTTTATTGTCCACCGATTTGGATAGAATAATTATTAAAACATGTGAACACAAGGGTTACACACAGTCTTCTACCGTCTCCCAGTCCACATTGTGGAAACTCCGCTCACAGCAAATAAGTTGTACGCATTACTGCAAACTGGACACAACCATTCGATCAATTACAAAGGAAAATAAAATACCAGTGCTGGATAAACAACACACTTGAGTAGAGTAATTCCTGAAACAAGTGGATACAGGGGTTACACACAGTCATCTCCCTAACAGAGAACATAAAAAGCCCGGTCACCTATATCCATCAAAATAACGCATTTTAACAAAAACGACATGAAACGGCACACGAATATATTTATTCACAAACGTAAACAAAAGCAAAACTACATAATTCTATACAATATAACTGAAAATACACTTCTTGTACGCGACCGCTGAAACACTACGTACCGTCTCGGAGTCTACGGGGCAAACTGAGGCGCCCAGAACTAGGCGCTCTGGCGCCCCGCCCAGGATTAACTACGGGGGCTCGGCTAGCAGCAGCGAGTCGGTTTTGGCTTACCGCCGGTAAAACAATCGAGTGCCACCTGTCGCCACGCCGCGCAATTCCGGCGATTCTGACCAATTTTGCCAGTGCGATTCTGTTTGGATTTCCCCGTCTTCATCCCTGAAATCGCAAATTTCAACCCTGGAAGTCGGAGTTCAATAAATAAATCAATCAGTCCAACAACTGGGAGAAATGATTCTTGGAAAATTTGCAACAGTGGAGAAAGGATGACAAAACATCGAATACATTTAAGTCAGATGACAATAGGGCTGAACGGTTTGGGGAAAGGATCTAATTATGGTTTTTCTGACAGATGTTGTGATTTGATTTGCGATGTTGGTTTTTTTAAAAGTCAAATTTCAGTATTAAGTATGATCTCCTTAGCTTCAAGTCAGCGACTTTATGTAGGGGATCTTATAATATAGCAAGATCTTACCACACAGCGAACAGGCTGCGTTAACATAATCAGACTAGCATTTGTAGCTACAGGCTATTATATATGCGGCGCTGTGTCCTAAGCAGTTAGATAACACGTTTATTGAGCAGATGAACAGAAGAGATTTAGCAGAAGAATCTGCTGTA